ACCTGAAAAATAAAAATAAAAATCAATACCACTGGTTTTTAGTATTTTTACAAACACAATAATAATATATTATATGTATAATATATTATATTATTATACATATACCTATCAACAACGAGGAGTCACTTAACCCATTGCTTTCTTACTACAATATTTCATAACATAATTTTTCTCGCCTGTCCAATATATTATACAATTTTACACACTTATATATTATTATATATCATTGCTGCAGAGATATATAAACAACTCGCAAGTAGTACAATGACCTACAATGTGAACGATCCTATTTCCCTTTGCTGTGATACGTATTAAAAACGAAAATATTTTTTACTGATATATATAAAATAATATATATGTGTGTATCAAAAATGCGAGGTTAGCCATAATTTATGTATAAATATCGAGTGTTAGTTCATTATAATACACAAACGGGCGAAACGAAAATCATATAATTTTCAATCGAAATCGATTTGAAGGTAAGTACGTGTAAATCGTGTAATTAAAAAAAAAAAATTTATAATAATAATAGTAATAACAAGAAAGAAAGAAACGTCGTAGAACGGCTTGTTTTTTCGTCCGGCCAACGGTTCCCACGGCGGTGGAATATTAACACGGTCGACCGCGTGTCCGGTGGTGGTAGCCGTGGCGGGCGGGCGAGTGAGCGAGAAAAAGCGTCGAGAAACGGTCGCATTATGATGGACGGGGGGTGGAGGGAACGAGCGAGAAAGAACGAACGGGTTACGGGAAGCGCGCGAGTGCGTGTACTCGTATTGGCTGGGCGGGGGGGTTTGAGAGGGTCTAGAGAGAGAGCCGAAAAAAAACCGAATACGAAAATCTAATAGCCACCGACGCGCCGCCGAAAAGAATGACGGAAAAAAACGGGTAATATACAAAAATAATATTGTAGGCACGTAGATAGGACTCGCACACGGTATTTACCGTGTCGCCGCGACCGTTGCACGGTAATTCCCGACGGTGTCCCGTCCACACCTGCGCCTGCACTGGCGCACCTGTGCGCACCGCCACCGCTCCCCCAGCGCACCGACACCGAAAAGCGGTGCGCCGGGAGGCCGCGGTGGAATAAATAAAAACAACTATAATAATAATATACGACGGCGACTACTTAGCTGCCTTACAGGCCACGGTCGCGTGAATGAAATTTAATTTTTTTTTCCCGTGTTGGCACAGTGAATTTTTTACCCACCACAACAACGACCCATCGATCAGAATTTTCCCCCTTCACCGCGCTAGTGCCTCGGTTATTATTATTATTGTTTTTTACCACTCCGTATTTTTTTTTACCGCCGCGCGACACCGACAACTACACGCCAACAGTCTCAATAAACGCGCGCGTGCCGTCGTCGACTGATCGTCACCGCCGCCGCATCTGTCGGCGTCGACTTAACTACGATATTATATTTAATTCATATTAATTAATATTATTTAATTGTGTTCGTCGTTTCGGTACACCATTACAACAAGTCCGTCACTTGCCGCCGTTCTACGCGTATCTTTAACATTGTATTATTATTATTATCGTCTTCGGAAACGATATCAACATCGACGACGACGACGACGACGACAACGACGAAAACAACAACAACAACAACAACAACAACAACAACAACAACAACATTATTTCATATTATAATAATAAGTAAAACGGTATTATCGGTATTCTGTGTGTACGTCCCGTCCGGCGAACCCGATACAACGTTATTATCTGAGCGTGATAAGACCGTCCGTCCGTGTGCGAGTGCGAGTGGATTTTTTAATAAATTTTTTTTTTACCGTAATTCCGTTTCGGTTTTTTTTTTTTTTTTCTTCACTCACCGATTTCTTCGAACTCGAAATGAGTGTGCGTGGTTTTACGACGACCACGACTAACGCGTGTGTGTACGACCGACGACGTCGGCGCGGCGGGGGCTACACCGCCGAGGGCCGTAAGCGCCCGTGTTGTCGCGCGCGCGCGTGTGGGGGGAGGACACGCGCGTCGTCGTCGACAACTCGGCGACGGCCCTTTATTGATTTTTCCGTTTTCGCGTGTCGTTCGGTTGTTGTTGTTGATAAGGAGAGTGAATTTTTTCCGTCGACGGTCGATAAAATTTTTCACGGGGGGGTTCCCTCCCCCTCCGTTTGCGGTCGTTCGTCAACCACCACCACCACCACCACCACTACCACCGTAGCCACCTCTTCTGCCGCGGCCGCCTTCACTGCCTCCGGCCGCCGCTCGACGTCGACGACGACGACGACGACGGCCGATACACGAAAATATTTACGGAACCGGAACTAATGGCAGGAAAAGGCGCACGCACGCACTCACGCACGCACGCACGCACGCATACTCGACACGCACACGACGTGTAAACAAACAAACGTACGGAAGACGGTGACCGAAAACGGAGACGAGTGCGAACCCCGTCATCGATTCGGCGGGGGCGAAAGCGACCGAAAAATTGATGTAGCTGACGATGGCGACGACTTTAACAACAACAAACAACAATAAGATGGCAGTGGAGAACGCCGCTAACCGTTCCCGCTCGCGTTTCCTGGTCCGCTCAGATTGCCGCGAGTTCTGGATGATGGAGATAAATGTAGTTTTCCGGGGTATCTGGTCAGCAGAAAACATTTGCGGCAGTACGACGTATTTATCGTTGAGCCATTGATTTCACACCAGGTAAACGAAACCAAAGTTCTCTCATTCTATACACACAGTCTAGGTAGCTTTGCTGTTAAACATAATTAAAACTGTACTCAATTTGGTAGAAAAGACACTGCAGTAGATCATTACAACCACCAATACTTCCGTTGGTGCCCTATGTGTTAATATGATCACGTTGACAAAAAATCGTCTTATCATAACTCGAGCTGTTCAAGCCATATTCGATACCATGTATTTAATGTTTATAGGTATCTGCCCAATGGCCAATTGTATAGCATTTCATTTTTAGTCAACTTCACATCAATCATGTCTCTCACATAGGCACTACTTTTATTGTATACTCCTCGCCATTACATTACTTAAAATAATATTTCTCCAAGTAGAGTTATCTCTGGTGAACTAAATGTTATCGCCACCAACTACTTCCCATTAGGCAGAGTTAATGATTAGGTGGTATGTCTATATTTTGTTGACTATTGTTGATGAAATGTATAGCTAGGTACACAACAAAATATAGTAGGTACAAACACACATTTAAATTATAATGGGAAATAGGAATAGGTAATAATTGCAGCCATATTTTAATTTTAAATAGAATCAATTTATGAATTTGGTAATAGTTATTTTACCGATAAAATGTATGAAAATTAAATTAATGGCCATTACAAATTGATTGTATGTACCTAGTTCAGTTGTACCTAGGTGCTACTGAATTACTAGTAGAAGTGTAATACTACAATGCAAAGAACGCACAAATGAGCTATGATAATACAAAATTGCCGTTCTTAAACTCTTGAATTGATAAGGTACTCTCATATTATTTATTAATTTTCTAAAATATAGATATGGCGATCTTTAGAAATATAAGAAAACGTTGCAGAGAACCGTATGTATTCATATCCTGCCCTTCATACAAATGTTTTAAATTGTAATACTAAACTTAAAATTAAGGGAGGTCAACCGAGAAATGTCGTTGAATATCAACAAATTATCTTTTATCCACCTATTTTAATTAAGTATGTGTTGCTGAAGTTTAGTTTAACTGTCTTCGCTAAAATTAGTAATTTTAAAACATTTTCAATAGGTTTGATTTCTGAATCTGCCTCCAATATTATATGAACTACTACAGTATTGTACACAATTTGAAGAGGGAAAAATGTACAACATAGTACACAATTACATTTTACCCATACAAAATATCCTGGAGTCATAAATTATTTATTATCTTTTTAATAAAACTAATTTGGCTAAATATCAGTTTTAATATATTTTTATGTTCCCAACATTTTCTGATTTCACTGTTTATTATTGCTTCAGAATCTGAGCAACCTTAATTTAAATGATTTCTATACCAAAATATCTGAAATAAGTATCTACTTTGTGGTTAAGTGGTTAGTAAAATAAATAAATTGATCTGTTGTATGTAAGCTTCAATAAATATTAATTTAAAATAATAAAATTTTATTTTTTTACAGATTGTCATAAGTTGATGTGTTTTTAGTTTATTTTTTGAAAAAATGGTACTGATACGAGAATAATGATTGTTTAAAGAAGTAAGTTTTAGTTTTATGTCTATATTATATATTGACCTGATTTACATTTGATTTTACATTTTTAAAACTGATAATGGTTAGTGATTAGTTGTATTATGAAAATAAATGATAATTATTGTTTTACATTATACATCCAAACATAAATAAAAATTAATTGGTTTATTAGTAAAGTAATATTACGTGAAGAAATTATGTATTACCCAAAAGAAACAAGTATAATTTCATCCCAATAAAATAAAAAACCATATACCTATATATTTATAGTACAACTATACAATTAATTTCAAAATAGGTTTAATGAAAAAATATGATTGAAAAGTAGTGTTATATTTACATAAGTATGGCAATATATTAATTTATGTTATGATTGTAAATCATATTAATTTTATTATACTTAATAAATTCATGATCCATACCTATATTGTTTGATATTAAATTAAGTATACAATGATAATACTTTATTATTTTGTTTTTATAAAGTAAAAATGCTTAGGATAATATTTTAATGCCTAAAAGGTGTATAATATGAAAAACTTTAAAGTATATGTATCTAAATAATTATAATAAATTCAAATATGTGTTGCAGTAAGCATTTCATAAATACAGTAAACACATATTATGTTGTGTTTTGGTATTTCTTATTGATGAAACATATTTTGTTCGAATAAGGTGAGCTAATATTTGATAGATAAATGTAAAAATAATATATAAATATTATCAATAATTACTGGATATTTTTATTTTACTTACAATTTTAGGTTTTATAGAACTAAATACATCAAAATATTAATTAATTGTTACTATGCTGTGCGAAATATGTATTGCAAATTCAATATTATAAATCTTTGTTTTTGTAATAGATAACATAAAAGATATTATAAAATTGTTATATTATCAACAAGAAAATTGTATATAATATTATGAATGATGATTGATTTATTTGGAATCATTACATAATAGAACAAATATTAATTAATTCTTTAAAATCTAAGTATTATAAATCCATTATTTAAAACCTAGATGTGAAATCAACAAAATAAATATAAATTTGAAGTATTCATACTAGGGATAGCAAGTATACAACATAAACACTAAAGTACTCCAGGTAAAGTTTACTATGTGTGAAACAAACAAACTATTGAATTCTTGAGCATTTTAAGAAAAAAAATGTATACATATACTTCTAACCTACTAACATTTTTAAACTGTAAAATATAAATAATAATAATAATAATAGATTTACATTAAACATACAAATTTCATTACATTTTATTGTGGAAACTGCATCCTTACAGTATCCACATAAGATGTGAATTTGTAAGCTTATATTAAACTAACAAAAATAATTTCAGTAGGCGGGTACGCTTATTATTAATATGCTTCAATCGGTGTTCATTCAAAATAAAACAACGTAGGTGCTGGATTAACATATTTCATTTACTCGATTTCCTCTATTCAAATCTTAAGGAAATTCAAATGTTTCAATTTCTTCTCCAAGCTTACCATCATTTCCTCCAGGTTTTGGGTACTGTAATTAATATATCTATTGTATGTGTTTTAACTATAATTTTTGCTATGTATTTATAGCTGAATTGATCGACTACCAGAGACGTTTAATACTTACCGAATACTACAAATTCACTGGGTTACATACAAAAGAATGGTTATCTCAAGATACAGAAGAAATACCCGGCTTATTTCCTCATCACCTAGATCCTGGTACCATTACTATACGAACAACGCCTAGCAGTGGTTCTGGTGGTAAGCGAATACGAAATTCATCAAACCGATCACCTGAAGAAGCGCGATGGGTGTGTCCAACTTGTGGAAAACGTTACAAATATAGTCGTGGCTTAGCTATGCATAGGCGATTAGAATGTGGTAAGGAACCTATGTTCCATTGTCCTTTTTGTCCACAAAAATGTCATCAAAAAGGAAATATGGTCATACATATTAAGAAAAAACACCCTACCCAATACGAGGAACAATCGCAAGCTGTTGTACAGGCACATGTCAAAGCACAACATGTCCAAAGCGATTAAGACAATTTTTCCCTCAGTATTTTTGTTTTAATTTAATTTTAAATGTCTTTTTAGGCACATGCTACTACTTATTTGAATTTTTATAAAATATATATTTATTAAATTTTCAAGGTCATATCCTATCACAATACCTCCTTACTCTCTCATTGTAGTTTTTTATTAAAAATATGCAAAATTATTGAGTGTTCTTAATAATCGTTAATGCTCATATGATAAATCTTGACTGATAATATTAACAATAATTTTACCCATATTTGTATTGGTTGGTTTTTTTTTTTGTTAATATGTATAATATAAAAAATATTATAATATATACATACTTAAATTACATGCATTAACCAGTTTGATCTACCTCTTTTGATATGACCAAGAAATGCCCACTTCTTTCGTCCCCCACTAGACTTAAACCGTTACCTATTTCATAATTGAATTGCAATTATATTTAATACCCATTTGCAATAAACGTGCAATGCATATATTTATATCAATATTATTTTTTCAGCAATTTTGCTTGTACATATTCAATTTTTATTTTGTTAAATTATAAATATATATTTTTTTTCGAAATTAGTTTTTTTATCAAATTCATTAATACATTTAAATTTTAGGTATTTGTTTTTTTATTATTATTATTATTATTATTATTATTTTATTTTTTTTATGATTATTATTATTATTATTATTATTATTATTATTAATAGAAAAGTATTAAATGATTTTATAGTATTAGCAAACCAAAACAAATGAAATTGAGTCTTCCAAGTGATAAGTAAGCTATTAGAACAAGTTGAGATGTATTTTTTTAATTGTAATCTCGTTCCCGTCCCAATTAAGATTATACATGTACAAGTAATCTTAAACTTGAGATATTTACTTAAAACAAACACTATTGTATACAAATCTTTATTTTTAAAATTGTTGATGTATTTTTTTCTACTTAAGAAAAATGTTTTATTTTATAACAGTATTAAGATGACAAATTACTTGTTAGTTATATGTCTTGTATTATACAAATGACCCAAAGTATTATGGATTAGTTTTAAATGGTATTTTATTTATTTGATAAAAATGTGTAATTAAATTTCTATTTAAGTAATATAATTGTTGGGTTATTTTTTTGTTAGCCTGAAACAAATTATAATTTTGGTGGTTTTGTAAGTTTTTTCTTTATGGATTGTACTTACAAGTTTCAAATTATTGTTTTGATTAGTATTCAAATTTTACTTAAACAATTATTTCGTTACATTTACCTGAAACATGTAAATATATATTTTAATTGTTATATATAATTTATTTTTATTTATTATGAATATTAATAATGATTCCTATGTATCTTATTCTTTTTAAATATTCTTTGAATTAAAAACATGTACTAATTCATTTTTTTTTTTTTTGCAGGTGTTATGTTAATACAAACCAATTACAGTAGGTCAACAACATTATCATCAAAACAATAAATCATTATTCCACTCATAATGTACATTAAACAATCGTTTCTTTTCTTATCTATAGACGGCTGTAGTTTAAAATGATATATTTTTACTATTAATTAATTTTTTGTATACTTTTTTTCTCATCCTGTCATATTTTACTTTTAGAGTATTAAATATGTTTACAGCGCTGGATCTAACTTTTAAAAAAATCAAAGCAAGAGTTAAATATTCAATAATGACATGAAATTATTCAACTTATTTAATATTATCAAAATAGATAAATTATTATCATACCTATCTGAAAAAAAAACAATTATACGTGTACCCTTTTATTTTATTTGGTAGGTTTCTGTATTAGTAGTTCAGTAGTATTTGCAATAATCTTACTAGTATTTATTGTGAAAATGGCTTATACTTTTCGCACGCTCTTGTTTCGCACCTGAGCATGTCTCTAGCTTCTTTTATCATCACTGCTCCTCATATTAACAACTAGTGGTTGCAGTTACAGGCGATGAAATGGCCACAATCACTGCCACACAGCGTGTGGTGAATAATCATCTGACCAACTTCAATTATCATCATTTGTCAAGTGTAATCAAATACTTGAATAATCACCAACCGACACCGCAACAACCGCAACAGCCTAAAACATGGACAACAACCAATGCATTGTCAATATCACAAAGATATTTTGAGAAGATTGCTCCAGCATCTGTTGGCATTCCAGCATTGATGAATCAAAATTTTTATGATATGCAGGTATAGTATTTTATTGATATTATATCAAGTTACAACTGATATGTTTTAAAGAAAAATATATGTACATGAAATATGAATGATGGTAAAAAAGTTTTTGTAACAAAACGTTTTCAATAGGATTCTGGTTCAGATGCATCTGGTCACGATGGCTATGGAAGACACAGGAGACATAACAGGGACAAGGAACCTATATTTCAATGTCCCGACTGTGACAAAAGGTATCGCTCTAAAACCAGCTTAAGTCTACACAAACGTCTTGAATGTGGAAAAGAACCAGCCTTCCAGTGCCCATACTGCCCGCTCAAAACACATCAGAAAGGTAACCTACAAGTGCATATAAAAAAGAAACACAATGAGCACGGAGAACTTAATAGGACTTATTAAATTATATTAATAAAACAACATTGGTCTGATGAACATTTAGAGAGATGATAGTGCCATCCTCCTAGAGTCATAACTTTTAATAAATTTCCAAGGGACATAAACAGTAGAAAAATTCCAATTTTTCTGAATACACAAAGCAAAATTGCATAAAATAAATTCAAAAATGGTTCTAAAACTCATTTGTTTAAACTATAATTGTTGGTCTATCATATTTTTTTTTTACTTAGTTAAAGAATTTAAGGTTGATTGATGAACTATTAATTAATAAAAACATCTCTAATATTAATAATACATTCTAAAACTAACCTATTAGCTAATTTATTATTTATAAATAATAAGAAATACATCGGTAGATTTATTTTTCTTTTATAAAAAATTATTTGGTCTCATTTTTTTTTTTTAACTATCCCATTTACTGGAGTATTATGAAAACAGGGTGTTATTTTCATATTTACATATGCTCCTCATAGTTCCCTTAATAATACATTAAGGTTTTCTGACAATTGAATAACTTATGTTTTATATCAATTTATGTATACGGTGTTAATATCTTATTAATATAAAATGTAAACGACTGATGTATTTTTCTTACCAAAATTATGTAACAACTTAATACATTTTAATTTGACCCTTAGTAAAGTAGCTTGGCACTCCATCTGTAACTGAAATTCACAGGTGAAAATGAATCATCCAAATCAAATCGAATGTATATAATATATATATTGGAAAAAAAACAGTACAAAATATGTGTTCGTTTAATATAAGAGTACACTCTTGATAACAATTTATTTTATGGACCAAAATGTCTGCATATCTAAGTTTCCAAACAATAACAAAATCAATTATGTGACCATTTAATATTTTTGAGGGTTGCGTTATGAATGACATATTGGTACTTCATGCCGTCCATGTAATCATATATTATAATTTAATTCATACCAGTTTTTTTAAGTACAAATGATAGATATAATTAACTTAAAGATAGTTTTTCCTTTATGATTGTAATATTTTGTTATAGTATTATAATACATGTTTAAAAAATATTTTATAATAGGCCATTATTTTTTCTGAAGTTACCTATCCCAAACTACTAAGATATTTAGGTTACTAAACAGCTTACAAAAATGTGCCTTACACTTGGCTACCGTGACCTACTCTATTTTTGTTTTCTGGTTTTATACACATTCAGTTCAATGAGACTCATAGTGGGTGGTGATATCATCTCTTAAAATGTAGTAATAAAATAAAACACAACATTACTTTCCAAAGAATATACAAATTATAATTATTTCATTTTAAAAATGCAATGTTGCTCTCTTGACCTAAGATCTCTGAAGATATATATAAATATATATATATATATTATTAAATATTATATAATAAAATTATTTATAAAAGTTTAATTATTAGCAATAAGAAACATACTGTCTGAATGTTAAATCTAAAAAAAATCTACCTCATATTACTACGAGTAGTTTATCCCATTAATGAGTGCAATTTTTCCTATTTTATAAAATGTAACTATGTATAAAAAAAAGTTATACGTCTTGTTCCTAGTTACTTTTTTAATATTTATTTACATATTTATATATATATATATATTAACATATTATTATTTTTTGTAATTTTATTTTTTGTAGTACATCTACCTCATTAATAGCTTTAAAAAAACAAAATGTACAAACAATATTACTGTTCTTTTTTTTTAACTATTATTTATTATTATTTTTACATCACTTATTGCATTAGATATAAGCCATCAAGACTAAACCAACACTTGAAGTACAAATATGAGATTGCAGGAATTTATTCAAATTAATAATTTTAATGTAATTTGTAGGGTATTATAATATTCATCTAGTTAGTTTATACAGGGGTTCTTTTTCGTGTAGCTACACATTATTTTACTAGATTTGCCTATGTGATTTAGAACCTTGCATAAGTTTTATTTTTCCGGTGGTAATATTGTTCCTAATACCAAAAATATATGTTATATGATTCCTACTATGGAGGAAATGAGAGGTAATAATCTAGAAACAATATTATGATATTATATTTTGCTTATAAAAATAAACCCTAGATAGAATTGTGTGCGCTATAGTTCAGTGTCATTTTCAAAGCAATATATTTGTAACCTAGTTGGACATGAGACTTAGACAAAAGGCAATAACTTTATGTAGCAAATAACTTTAATATCTAAGCCCATTTAACAAATTTGTGTTAGAATTATTGAACCCCATATTATTGTTTTTTTTTTTTTTTTTAAAAATCGCAATCATTGAAGGTACAAGATTAACTTTTAATAATAATCAACTTAAAGTACAAACAAATTCTAAATAATTAATATGGTTCAACCACAATATTGTTATGTAAAATATGTATATAATGTAAATGGATATATTCTTAAAATGTTTAAATTTTTATTTCTTCCTTTTATACTTTATTTTGTAATAACAAAGTCTATACCACCCCACCACCTCAGTACATAAGATCATAAGATAACATTTAATTTTAATTTTTTTTTACATAGTTCCTATTTTTTAGACAAACTATGCATTTTACCTTTTTATATTTTTATTTTAATCATACAAATAGTGTTCATTTTAGTAGAGAATTATTTTGTTGAAACATCTAAAAATATGTATGTCTTTATGTACCTGATGTTTTGCATTTAATTAATAAGTTACTAGCACTCACAACGTTTCCAAAGGTACTTTCCTTCCAACTATAATATTATGTACAACAATTTTATGTTTAAGCATAAATACTTGCAATAAGCGTTTTTTGTATGCATACTGTGTTAAATATTTTTATTTGTTTTGTAAGCACACAACACATAAACACGCTAGCAGTATTATTGAATTTTCTTCATTGTACTATTATATACCTAACCTTTATTAAAAAAAATTTATTATTATTATTTATGAGATCAAATATATTATTTATATAGAAAATATGTGTATATGTTTTGTGCACTAAATTTAGAAGCTTAGTTTTGATAAAATGTAAGAGTAGTATAATGCAATATGTTGTAATTTAAAAACAAATTTATAAAAAAAAAAACACTTGTCATTTAAAGAAAACTATATTAAATATATTAGTTTCTGAATAAAATTGTTTGTTTTATGAAATTATTTTATAAAGTTATTACATATATACTAACTACAGGTAAATCAATTTAATCCAGGCAAACCTGAAACTTGAATTGTCTTAGTATTCGGAGAATTATTGCATCAATACACAATATACAATCACGGTTGGAACTCCTAAAATAAAATAAACAAAGTTTGTTCACATGCTTGTTAGTAAATTATACATTCACAATTTCAGGTCTGAAAATTGTAGTTACCAAATGTATTGTTATCAGTTTAATTCAATGAACATTCTTGTTGGACTATCTTTTGCTACATTCCTAAATTAAGCATTATTTAAAACTGTAATTTTTGAATTTTTGTATGAACAACTTATACGGTTATACATATCTTGTATTGAATTTGAAAACTTTTTGATCAAGTAATAGAATTGTGATCTACTCAACAACAAAAAAAAATCCAAAATAGGCAGCTTAAAATTGATTAAGTAGGAAATGGAATTATTCCAAGTCTAACAAACAGTATATTGTCAATAACAACAAAATAACATTAATCATTTGTAGAGAAATCATTATGTTATACATGCTATATTCTATGGTGTCAAAACTTTAATCGCTAATAAAAAATGTATGGCTTTAATAAATCGAAAAAAATAAAATGTATTCGATGAAAAATCAAGTCTATACAGTCTATACCTATTCATTCTTTAATTACAAGAACAAAAAAATGTGAATAAGTGAGTATTGCTCTGCCGTAAAGTAGTTGTCAGCATGTCATTGCAATGGATGTGTTAGATTTGAATTCAATGATAAGTCATTGAATACTAAAAACAGTTCTTAGAATTGAACTTTAAATTCATTCATACAATCAAATAATCGTTCTCAAATATCCTAAATATTTTTATCTTTAATCAAATAACCTTACGAAAACATAGCAATACATTTTAAAGCATACATTTTACTGACTCAACAATTTTTTATCGCTAATAATTTTAAAAAAAATTATAAAATTCGAAAATTCCTCATGCCTGTAAATGTTTAAAAAACCGTCAAAGTATTTTTTTAAATTGTATCATATGCTAATATAAACGAAAACTTCACGAGCCAAAAACGCCAGATGTGACAAACACAAAACGGTACCGCAAAAAAATAACCCCATATCAGATTTTGCAAATAAATCTAAATATTGGTATTCTGTCATTGCGTAAAAAAAATACGTGTTATTTTCCACGTTATTAAAATAAGTTATGAATGTAGAGTCCATGACATAGACTAAGGGTTAAGATAATCGAGAAAAATTAAAAATCGTTAAAATGTATTTACTGTTCTGATAATTTTAGATAATAATGATGAATATTATAAAATATGCAGGCATTTTACGTATTTTATTCATGCGCATTACATCCATCCATTATCAATATAGTGTACCTACATAATTAATGTATTACATAAACTACTATACAATTCATGTATAATAATTAATAGTACCTATACCTACTTCTTATTACATTCGTTATGGACTATGAATTTGTCGTTAAATTTTGAAAAAGTAACAATTCATTACGCATTACTTTTTGAATGAAAAAATAACATAACGTGAAAAAAATAATGTCGGGAAACACGAATTATGTAATTTAAATAAAAATATTTAATGTAATATAAGTAGGTAACGTAATTAGTTTCTTATCGAAAATAATTTACCCAACACTGGATAGTTGTGTTAGCTCGTAGATCTGATGATCAAGCCAGAATTAAAGGGAGGAAGACTCTAGGCTAACAGTGGTATTTATTGTCACGCGCCATCACATCTATAATTATTAATTATCATGATATGAAGAAAAATCAAGTTCGGAGGAAAAGAAATTACTAGTTTACTAGTAAGTTTCAAAAATTATATATAATAGTCTAAAGTAAACTATGGTTCATTAATACTCAGTAAATCTAACTTCGTACACATTCCCAATACCCCTAACATTTAGAAATTAGCCATCTATGCTGCACGGCTGCACCTGAAGTAAAATCCTGGGACCGCCTATGCCTACCTATTACCTACGTACAATTATTATGTTCCCACAAATAACATTAATTTTGGAAAAACGATTTGGAGCACGGTGCTAGTTTGTCTGTCATATCGATCACATTTATAATAGGTGGATAAGAAAGGTACCTACCATTAAATTTGTCTTCGATGTTCTGATAATATTATAGAAGCGGTAATTTATAATTAGTCCTGTGTGTGTTCATTTCTCAGTATTCGGTACCTACTACAACAGTCTGCTTTCGTATATTATATATTTCGCTATACATTTGTTTATGTTTGAAGTTGGCATTTTAAAAGTATATGTATGTTGTACACAAAGATTGTTTAAACTTTATAAAGTGGAAATGCTACAAAAAAAATAATATCAAATGTCCATACATTTTAAAAACTTCTCTGGATAAAAAACATTCAATTTAAATTGATCATGAACATAATCATCGATCGTGTCAAAATGAAATTGATGCCGCGAAAATTAAAATGCAAATTAAAACACGGGCTAAAATAACGAAGTCTACACCTACAATATTAATTGTAAACCTACCTACCTAGGTATATAGTTTTTATACGTATTATAATATTATTTACCGTCATTGAAAAAATTGAAAATTTGTTTTAATTTAATATTATATTATTAAAAATATATTATACTCCACATTTATGGTTGAATATTTTTATTGATATTGTACTACAAATGTATTATTCGGTAGGTACCCGTTGCACCTTGCAAATCATTTTCATTTTCGCTGTGTTATTTATTGGGCAAATAAAAAAAAACACGTTATTGTAAAATACTTTCCTCGCTCCGAAGTCCAATCAGAATTTTAAATTAAGAGTGAGTTGCAACAATTATATGCTGTTCCATGGCAGAGCAGATATTCCGATAGCAACTTGAAAACTGTATCCAAGTATACCTTTAACGGTAGGTATATGAAAAATACCATAGAATAACGTACAGTCGCGAGTTTATAGCAAACAATAACTGAAGGATGTTCAGCATATTTAACTAAATATTTCTAACACGTTACTTAAATACCTATTATTTGAATATACCTATTCAAGATGACGCGGAAAAAGTTGAAACTTGACTCTAGCAGTCGGCAATAAATTAGCTTGACGCCTATTAAACAACAATCGTGTAGTTGTTAAAAGAGTAAAGGGTCCATTACCTAGGTTGGCTAAATCGGACAAATAAATTGTAAAGCTTGGAAACTGATTTGAAATTTACTAAAAAAAGGTATAAAAAATATTCCATGGCAAAAATTCGTTGTAAATATTTGTACATAATTTTAATCTTTTTTATTATAAAAGTTACGACCTAAAGTAACTTAAAATTAGGCACCTAATAATTACGAACCAATAATCGCACTTGTGATTGTAAAGTTGAAAAGTATTCTGAAGTATTTTTATCAAATTAATATACTCAATCTGGCTGTAGCCTATTTGCGCCCGAAATAAAAAACTTAACTCCCTGATTTATAGCCCAGAATCCAGATGCGGCTATTTTGCATGCAAAATTAGTCAGTTATCTTTAAGATTGTTTAAAAAAGTAAAATTGTAAATAAAATCAAAATTAATAATCATTAAAAGTAATCATTTTAAAAATAATGATAAATACTACACAGTATGACAGTCTTTAATTTTGGTTAACTTTGTATTTGAAACACTCGTTTTGATGTATGTACTACGGATTTTTTTTTGCACAACGCCAACTTACATCTCCAGAAACAAGGTTCTCACTCACGTGATATTTAAAATAACAAACAACTGAACAAAGTTTTGGATTAGGATGGGAACCGATCAAAAATTATTTTAGATTTTATAGTTTAAAACGGAAATGGTGTCTTAATCTTTTGGCACCTAATAATAATTGAAAAAAAAACTAAAAAATTTTTTAAAAAATTAAATAGCAAATGAGTGTTACTAATGGCTTTCCTCAAAAATGTCACGCATTATGTATAAATTTTAGGACCATGAAAAGAAAAAAAACAACTAATTCTTTAAAAAATTCTTAATTTAAGATAAACAGAAATCCAAACTAAACTTGTCTACGACTTTTCGTTAGCGATTTAAAGTCATTTAAAGTTAGCGCGTGACGTCATAGAATCTAATCTCGCTGCGTCTACAGCAGCGGTTCCCAAACTTTTACGACCACGGCACCCTTAAAAAATTGTTTGTGTTTCGCGGAACCCTAATGTCTAATCCAACTCAACTACAATTTTTGTGAATTAAAAAAGGAAAATCAATTCCTTAAACTCTCAAGTCTAAATAATATTTTAATGATACTGTTAATGACTTTTCATTATTCAACTTAGTTTCAAAAAAAATTTTCAATCAAAAATTATTTAAACAACAAACATTATATAAA